ACAACAAGCACAAAATCAACTCTGTAGACCCACGGATAGCTTGGATTCAGCTTGGATTTAAACGGGATTTCGTTGACTGATTTAATTTTAAATGGCGTCGTGAGCGGAGATTAACCGTTACGTTGACGTCATACTCCCGGATCGAGGCAAAATGATAGAGTGTACGCACTCGGCAAACCTCAACAGATTCCAGTACCCTACATCTAATCTCGGCTGTATGACAAAGCCCGCCATTAGAACTACTTTCAAGTTCCCGGATTACAATGACGTTGTCCATGACGACCAATGACGTCATTGATGACGTATTTGAAGAATGTTTTATCTTACAAAATTTTCAAAGTTTGAAGCTGTTTTTCTTTCAAGTTTATCCGATTTTCTTTAGACAAGGACAAATTTGCACTGAAAATTCTGCACACTCTTCGAACGACACAATTTTGAGAACTTCTTTCTAAACGCGGGCAAGTTTCCCTTATAAGTAAACCGGTGCCGCATCGCAAATGTATAGGCGTAGGTACATATCACTTACTGTCATACAGCCGAGGCTAGATGTAGGGTACCGGAATCTGCCGAGGTTTGCCGAGTGAGAGTGTACGAAGCGAGGCCGCTGAACATTGGGCGATGCCTTAATAAATGACATCTAAACTATTTAAAGTTCAATAAACTAAACACAGATAATGACAAATTATACAATTCCTGTAGACCGTTTGATGACAGACGGACAGGTCTTCTGTCTTAATAATATCAATAAAAATATTGTTATTTCCCCAATAGGCACGACGCCACTGGTGTAGGCCTATAGATTTATCATAATATTATGTCCTATATTCAATTGAGTTAATGCATGCCCAAAATACAAGTAAGAATGAAAATTTACCCTCTCACTCATTTTGTCCTATTGTTATAAAAATCCAAAAAGGTAAAACACAAATTCGGATATGACAGCAGACAAAAGACAGCAGAGATTATGTAGGTGGAGTTAACGCCTGTCAATCAAACGATCGGCCATACTAAGAATCGGTGAAGATGGAATTCAATCCCATTTCTAGTCAAAAATTACACTGGTGATAACTATACTATTCAAAAAAAGTAGGGGATATTTGATTTTTAAGTGTTATTAAAGTCACCTAATGAAACTGACGAAGAAACAAATGACAAAATGAAATGAAGTTCACATTCATCGATTTATTCCAAATGATCGTTAGACTAAGTAAGGCACAGACTGACCATTATAAGGGTAAAATGATACCCGGGGTCAAACAGCAAAGTTACCACAGCATCACAACCAAGTCAGTAACGGGTAAATCCTCCTCTGTTTGCCAAACAAGCATTGATCCGACGTGGCATACTCCTAATGAGACGTCTAAGGTCATTTTGGTCCAGATTGTCCCATTCCTGTTGCAACGCAGCAGCAAGTTCTTGGACATTGGCAGGACGTTGTTGACGTTGACGTAACCTCTGTCCAAGCATGTCCCAGACATGCTCGATGGGGGAGAGGTCGGGACTCAGTGCTGGCCAAGGTAATGTGGTGATGTTCTGTTGTTGGAGGTAACCTGTAACGATCCTGGCCCTGTGACATCTTGCGTTGTCATCCTGGAAGATGAAACGGCGGCCATGACGTCGTTCGAACGGCACAACATGGACTGCCAAGATGTTGTCCCGGTAGTACTGGCCTGTAACACGCCCTGCAACAACATGTAAAGCCGTTCTTCCAGCAACAGTGATGACTCCCCACACCATAACAGAACCACCCCCAAATCGATCATGTCTGATGACGTTAACGTCTTGGAAGCGCTCGTTTCGACGACGCCACACCCTCCTACGTCTGTCCAAAAAATCAATAGTGAACCTTGACTCATCTGAAAACATCACATTGCTCCAGCGTCGATTATCCCAGTGTTCACGATCCCTACACCAACGACGTCTTGCCTGAATGTGATGATCTCTCAAACAAGGGATCACGCGAGGACGTCGGGCGCGAAGGTGACCCCTATGCAGTCGATTCCGAATCGTCTGGCCACTCACTCTCACACCAGTGTCTGTTTGAAGACGAGCGCTGATCTGATTTGCTGTGATGACACGATTTCTCAAGGCCAAGGTACGGATAAATCGATCCTGGGCTTGAGTTGTCGCCCTTGGTCGACCTGAGCGTGGTCTGTCCTGTACAGATTGTGTATCACGGTATCTGGACCATAGCCTGCTTATGACAGACTGAGAAACATTCATCGTCCGCGCCACAACCGCCTGTGTTGTGCCGATCTGTAGCATGCCAAGGGCACGTAACCTTTCATTTTGGGTAAGCCGACGCATATCAAAATTTGTTTTCTGGTCACTAAAACAATTAAACTGATGTTTCCACCCTGGAATTCAATGCCACAATGACTGTAACATTCAAAGTCAGAGTCGTGCAAATCTTGGGTTGGACCCCCATGATGATCCCAAGCATCACCTGCATTCCATGCGGTAGCTATTGGTGCGTTTGGGCGTCACATGCAACTGGAAATGTTTCTTCTGTTAGGTTCTATAGTGACTTTTTTCGTAGTCATTTGTATATTTTAGTATTATCCCCCCAAAATCAAATATCCCCTACTTTTTTTGAATAGTATATGTTCAGAATAAAGTAATTTGACTGAAAGTTTCAAAAGATTCTTCTTTCATCATCTATTTTTGAACTGTTATAGCAAGAATGGCTAACTCCTTATAAAAATCTCCCATATGTATCTTTAATCTACGTGGTTACCTCAAGGTTTCTCCGTTGTCGGACATTTTAATCTCCTTGAAGTCAGCCGACAGCATGTAGAAACAAGTCAAATCCTATTAGTATATAACACCCCAAATCAATGGAAGTACTTATAACGTTCAAAATACTTCGCGATACTTATCTACTGCCCATTGCAGTCCTTTACCAAGCGTGAACGTGACGATGCTGTCACACACTTGACCGCTGGGTCCGAGTTCTGTGCCGCCACACCATGTTTATCTGTAACCATTTTATTTCGTAAAATTCTTTGACTTTGAGTGATGTAGCTGCTGATGTAGTTAATTATATTGAAATATTGGTTAGGTCAGTTAATTGAGCCGTCAATAAACACTAGTCAACTGGCGGTGGGTATAGACAGCGATACGTTCAAAATAGTGTATTCTATGTGTGGTCCTTGTGAAGTCACCAGCCAATCACCCGGATTAAGGTTGAAATTGAAAATTTTTTGTGTGTCCGATATTTAAACATATATGTCGAATAATTATAACCTCGGTGGAAGCGGACGTTAAAGAAAGCTATTTCACACACACAATTATAATCAGATTGGCGTGAACTTGCCTAATGTGTACATAGTAACCATTGGCTACACGTATATATGTTTTCTCATTTGATGTGCTCTTTAAATTATTAAATCGTGATCAAGTTTCAATCCATTAAAAATCAATACTATACACTAGAGGGTTGGTTATGGCCAAAAAACCTTCAATAGACAGATATACCATACATGTAGCTCTTACATGATGCATCTTTAAAGTGCCATACTGATGAGATTTATACTCAAAATAAATAAAGAACTGAACTGATCCTTTTTCAGTGAGTTTTTAATAGTCTGGTATGACCAGGTCTTGGGTGTGATCCAGCGACCTTTTAAATTGGTAGATTAATTTTAATTAAATGTCATATTATCTGAATAACAATTTTTTTATTTATATTTTTATCAAGTATGAACTTTATGTAATTTTATTATGTAAATGTTATAATGTCTTGTTCTATGTAATGCACATTTATGTGGCAGTTGTGTGATGTAGAAGGGAGTAATAATAAACAGTTGAAATTGGATATAACGTCCTACTGTTCTGTTCCTACTGGGCTAATGAAGACGGGAATACATCATGCCGTGTGCTAAGAGGGAAATTTTGCCCGGATAGTGGTGCTATGGCCTACTCGAATTCCAACTGCCAAGGGATCTTTTACATACAAGCCAATATGTACACAGGACCTCAGGTTTTTTTTTTCGATTCGAACGACTACACAGCTATCCTTGTCAGGTCCTCTGTCCTTCACCAATGACAAGGGGAAACCACGCCAGAAAATCTGATGAACTAAATGTAAACAATAATAATTCTATTACATAAAGAGCTTGATGGAAGTACATGTACACCTGCATTTTAGCAAGTCCCCTGTATCTTAGATTTAAGACCGTCTTCATTAGCCCAGTTGGTGCAGATAGGACGTTAAACCCCATTTCATTTCATTAGATTGAAGGGCTTCACTATAACGCCCATGGAATCTATTTTGACAGCTATCTTTCAATGAAACACACCTTATTGTATTATAAGCATCTCTATATTCTTGAGTCATATAGATTATCATAAAATAACTGTCAGAAAGATGTCTGTAGCTAAATAATACGTCACATATACAGGTATTCATAGAATGAAAGTTACCTACTTACTCCAATTCAAATAAAAAAATGATGAATTTGATATGATCCAAAGAAATTATTTTAAAGGTTTACGATCCATTCTGAAACAAACTTTACCAGGCATTCTCGAAACCAAAATGAAAAACTCTGCCATGAAGAAAATTTGTATTGTTGTAGAATTATTGTCCGTCAGGCTTCGCGGTGATTCAATGTCTCCGATCCTAATCGTTCATTTTTATTAAATATCTAAAGTTTCAACATGTTATCCATGTTAAAATGTACTCAAATTGATTATTTAACATTTAATTAAGAAAGCAAAACCATAATATCTACGAGACCCAAAAGGTTTTACTCAACTTTTAAAGGTGGCACTGGATTGTTTATATTATCTGTAGAGGATGCTGAATGTTGCAAACATAATTATCATATCTTTGGAAATATTGAATTGCAATTGAACCATTCTTTGGATGATGTTCCTTTTAGAAATCCAACTTTCAAAATATTATAATTTGCAATGGATTGAAAATCAGTGGCTTTAAGTATTACTATTGTCTAATAATTTATTATCTTTAATCTACATGTCAACAAATATAATACATGTATATAATAGAATATAATAAATAAAAACATAAATACAATAAATATCACAGTATAGACGGCAATTTCACTTATTTATACACATTCATAAACATATACATAGAAATCATTTGACAAAACTGTATAGATAAGAGTATTTATAGTACACTTTTGTATATTTAAAGAAGGAGCTGATATTGTGATATAACCATATAGACACATTATTTTAGGGGTTTTATAGATGTTGCTTTATTTTGTAAATATTTATGCAATAAAATTTTCAAATATATCCTGAATGTATGGATTTAATAATTATGTTTACCTCAACATACCTGAATAAAGAGTCCAAATAAAGTTTGAGACTATGCACAATCAGATTTACTTATATTAAAAAAAAAAATTTTTGGTTCAAAAATAAATTTTAAACTTAAACACAGGTTTCAAACTGCCATCTTAGTGAAATATATTAACAATAAATCTGATTTATTTTTTGTGCAAGCTGGTTCATTTTTTTTTAAGGCTTTTCTTTAATACTCTGATCAATGTGTTTAATTACACATTAACAACAGCCTTTACATTAATCAAGCACTAGTAAAATGGATTGAAATACAAGTCAAAATCAAGTAAGCAAATGACAGACCTGGTAATACGCAGAAGTGGCCATGACTTTTTACAAGTGATTAAACAACCGATGTAATTTTAAAATAGCATTTTATAAAGAAAACAAACAGTGTTTACTTATCATGAACATTTTGATTTCATTTTCTATCGTACAATGTAATTATTCAGAAATGTTACTGACATGAACTTGATTCAGGTACAAGAATTAAATATGGAAAATAGCAAGGTGCACTTACTTTTTTTATACTAATCATAGACATTATTCAGAACACGATATGCTACATAATGACCTAAGAAATATTTGTAATTAAAGTCCAATAAATGAATGGAAGCTTAATGACCATATTTACTGAAGTGGACGAATTCTGGTGACATAACTCTGGCCTCTTTTAACCCCAACTATAAATGCCTACATGCAAAATTTGGAAACAGAATCCCAGATTAAAACAGTGCTTTTGTGAATTGTCCTAGTGAAAGATCAAGCTATTTGCATTCTTATCTGTCCATCATAAAATTATCAATATCAAGCAAAATCTGTCAAAAACTCAAAGCTTTTTTATTGATTCTATTGGCATGTAAAAGGGCAGATACATGTATAAGATTGCTTGTAGGTGTCTAACACCTGCTTCCATGACAGAGAAATCGGAGAAAGAATTATCTATAAATAGCTGGTACTATCTTCATAGGTACTGAAATGAGGGGAAATAAATGTGTCCTACTTCATAGTGTCACCCCTTGTCAGTGGTGTAAGATGGAGGGTCTAACAAGGGACATAGTTGTTCGGATGGTATGAAAAACCCAGGTCATGAGTACATATTGAGTGCACATAAAACAACTCTTGACAGTTGGAATCCGAAAAAAAGAGTAGTCTGTAGCACCGCTGTCCTGACAAACTTTCCCTTACAGCACACCACTGTATGGCATATGCCTGTTTTCATTAGCCATAATTTCAACAGGATTTAAATTTGTGAAATAAACTCCATGGAATGTCTGGTGTTAAAACAGTAAAACATTGCCTTATTGATCATCTTCATTCAACGTAAATAGTTACTCTTAATTTAAATTAATTTTTCTCTTTTAACTTTTACATTAATTCATCAATATCAACTTGATCTGAGGAAGCTGTTGGTCGAATAAATTCTGAGTCGATTGTTAATCCACCACCAAGTCTTTCTTCTTTACTGATACCATCCAATATTTCATTTACCAAGGCAACACAAGATGAACTCAGTTTAACTGTATTATATTTATCTAACTGACCAATCTGTGATCGTAAAAAGTCTAATTCACGAGCTAATAACTGTCGATCTCTCATTAAACGCGTCTGTTTGGCGAGAATCTGAATTAACTGAAAGACAAAACGTGTGAAAATAAGTGACTCACTTCAAAGCTTTTACCAGTGTGAATAAAGCAGCTAAAAAAGGTTGACCATTGGAGGAAATTAGATACATGTACCCATACTGAATCAACTATTAAACTCAACATAATCACAGTCATTGAACAGCTTTATTAGCATACCACCATAAACAAAGAAAGAGAGAGAGAGAGAGAGAGAGAGAGAGAGAGAAATGGGGTTTAACGTCCAATTGACACAAACTGGGTCATTTTAGGACTAACACATGATTCAATTTCATTTCAATAATTCGCTTGCGTGTAGGTGTCTAGGACCCGGAGAAAACCCATGAGGTTGGACAGACGACCCTACTCCTTGTCACATACAGCTGGGAATCAAAACCATGCCAGTTGACTCAATGACAGAACTTATGATACAGTGCGCACGTGCTAACCATTCGACCATCCACCCCCACCACCATAAATAGAACAAAGTTTATGCGCAACTAGACATATAGATATAAATTGCATACAGGTAAATGTACAACAGTAAACGAAGAAATATTAAACTTATCATCAACGAGTAAGGCAGACAACACTATTCTTTGCAGCATAAAATCACAAGATTAGTTCCTCTGCTTATACTGAAAATAATCTTGTGATCTGCAGCAGTACACTGTCTTAAACCGATCATTAAGCTTCCTACCCCCATGTTCCTTGACTTTAAAAGATATCAATATAACTTGTGACTTATGGAATACTCAATCAAGTAAGAATAAGAATTTTAGGTGAAAAGGCATGCACCCACAGAAGATGATACTATATATATCGCAACTATTCAGAGGTGTTTATTACATTAAATAAGGTATATATTTACAAGACAGAGGTGTTAATTACATTAAATAAGGTATATATTTACCTGTTGTGACTGATGTTGGGCATGTTCATCCATCATCTTTAACCGTTCAGACATTTTATCATGAACTTGAGCATGTTGATCTGATTGATCATCTAATGTTGATAGTCTAGCTACACTACGTTCTAATCTCAGTCTCATTTCTTCATTTTCACGCGATAATTTACCAACTTCAGATCTAAAATCAAGGAAAAAAAACATTTTGTAAAGTCTTTAAAATACACCAACAGAAATCAAAGACAAACAAAGGATGATGTATTTATTTGAAAATGTCACATCAAATGTAGGGAACATATTGCACAATATCTATATTAATGATTATAAAACTATATTTTATTTGATTATCATGTGATGTCCCAATCAGGTAAGTGTAGGGAATTTAGAAGATAGGTGGCAAGGCAACAGCAGCCAAATTGCATATTTATTCTCTTGTAGGTAATGGGGGCTGACAAGACAATTTCATACAGATCAGACCAGTGTTCTTAATCGGCTTTTTTTTTTGTCGGCTTGAGCTGATTGATGTTTAATCTAGCCGATTGGTAAAACAATGAATCAGCCACTATGGTATCTTAAATCAATCTACTTCTGGCTAAATTACAACAGGTTAATTATTACTTGTTAATTAAGAAGTAAATCAACTTGCTTGTTGGCTAGAACAACAGTCATACCTTAGGGAGAATCGGCAATTTGGTTCATAATCTGTGTAGCCTAATTAGTACATTAAAAGGTAATTTTGATAATCCGGTAAAAAACAAAACAAGCTTGCTGATTATTCATAACAGGTTTAGTAAGCTGCTTTAGTAAAAATTAACACTTGTGGCGAAAGAAGACAATCTAGGCATGTTTGTCAATCGAGCGTCTTCCATGCTCAGTATGTATTACAGGTAGGCCTACTGGTAGATATTAAAATAATAACTGGATCATACATTGATGGATTCACTGACCAAAGTATAACTTTCGTCATTTGAGGGTTCACAAGGTACTATAACCTGAAACAAGGGCCTTAACTCTGGAAGTAATTCACAGAAAATGTTGAAATTTGACAGGATTTTGGTTTTATTAATTCAAATAATGCATATAAATTCCATACAGATAGGATGATAACTTTTGTCGTTCGAGCCTCCACAAAGTAAAACAAGGGCCCTAACTCTAGAAGTAATTAACAGAAATTGCTGAAATTCAATCGACTTCTTCGTTTCATTAATGTAAATGATGCACATAAATTTCATACAGATCGGATGATAACTTTTGTTACTGAAAGATGATTCTTCATCTCACTAATGTAAACAACATATAAATATGATAACAATCAGATGATAAATGTAGTCTGTAGAGTGTTCACAAGAAATCGTGAACAAAGGACGGACGGGGGTGGCGGCAATATATGACTACATTTTGATGTGGGCGTATAAAAAGGGTTGGATAGACATTTACTGTTATTATAGAAAAGAGGTCATCGTCTATAGTTAATAATATTTTCCCTTATAATAACAGATTAGTGTGAGGAATATAGAAAACGGTTTACGTTGGCGTAAAGCTAGAACCATTGTCGATAGTTTAAGACCAAATCTAAAATTTGCATCAGATCAATCCAATCCTATATTTTGACCAAATTCAAAGAGGTTTACCGGTAGTTGTTGGCAAACATGGCCTACATAATGGTAATTAAAAGCTTATCAGGCCAAAACAAAATAAATCCAAGAGGTTTAGCTCTTTCAAACAACGATGTTGGCAAAACATAAAGTGATATTTTGACATTTAAAGATACATTATGTTAGATTTAGATAAAGTTCTGGCCGTTCTTGCTATATTAGTTCAAAAATAGATAATGCAAAATGAAACTATTGAAAATTTTATTCAAATTACATGTACCTTATTCTGAGCGAAGTTACCAATGTTTGTAGTTTTGACAAGATGTGTGCATCGATTATTTATTATTGTAACCAAGGTGCTGGTTGTTTGAGGGTTAGTCTCGCTTCTCATTTTTAAATTAAATCATTAAATGGCTGAACTGTTCTAATCTACTTAAAATTAGATCCATCCGATGGCATTGAGAGCTGATTATGTTCTTGTCATGTTCATAAATGTCTAATTAGTAACTGATATAACATTTAAGACCTAAAGAAAGATTTATTCCTTGAATTATGCCTCTTTAAATACAATACATGTGCCCGTTAGGCCAAAAAAAAAAAAAATCAATGTATAGCTTTTTTTATCAATGATGTTGGAAGTTGGCAAAACATATAGAAATATTTGACATTTAATATATATTTATATAATATATATTTATATAGTCTGCATAATTAATAATCCCCTAGGTCAGAACAAAACACCCCAAAAATCCTTTTCTCAAAAACATTTGAATATTATCTCTTATTTATACTATGTAGACTCTTAGATTCACTTTGTATCAAATTTATGCAGAGGACTGTTTACCTTGCAATCGAAAAATCCATAAAACAACTATTCTTTTGCGACATTCCATCTGACAATCCAAGAATGATTTAGTACTTCACTGGTAATTGTTAAAAACTTTCTCAAACTTTACAATGACATTATTGACATTGTCTGGGAAAATAAAAGCTATTTGAAAAAATATAATCTCCTTTTTTGGGGGTCTGGACTTAAAACATGAAAGCATTTTGTGGTAATATTACCTTCAATAATTCAAAAAGGTTAAATCATTGAAAAGACTTCTACATCATAATCTAAGTGTGGGCTTGTTAACAATACTAATCATTACATAAAGGAGATAAAAAAAATGTCATGTTTACCGGTGTTTTTTGGTCATTTTATCCAGTTGAGTGGCCTGTTTTCTACATTCATCTCGTAATTTAAGAATCAGTCTATTCTGTTTATTCAGCATAGTATCCATTTCTGCATGCACTTGAGCTGTTAAGAAATTATTCAACAATATCATGAGGAGTTTTTATAGTTAAAAAAAACTTGTAATATTGTATGAAATCAAAAGGCTGAGTGGGCTTTGTCCTACTTCAAAAAGAGAAAGCATAATCTTGTTTTTTTTATTCAAATATTTAATGGCTGGGGATCAGCTGAAGGATAATGTGTATATCAAGGGGGTTCATTAATTGTCATGTTGATGCCCAAGTACACATTACAATATTCTGATTGCTTGTCATTCTGAATTACTCATGAACATGAGTGGCTGCATTTGCTAAGTACATTTATAATCTTGATTGCAATATCATCCAAAGTCTTACACGTTGAAAACACAAATTATTTGTCAATTCAAATCAACATTGATGTTGTGATCTTACCGGGAAAAGGTAGGCTTCTGATATCCAATATTTAAGACAAACTAAACATTTTACCATTGGTACACGAATCGTGTACCATAGTGCATTTCAGCATCATTTGTAACAAGTGACCAGAAAGAACGAGGCTAGACATATTCCACAACTCATGTCAAACGGTGACGCCACATCTTATCTGGAGAGCATGCGCAATAGACTGGAATAACCAGATGCTAGAAATTTCCCTTTGGTTGAGACTCATGCCGTATGTCGCTAGACATAACTGATTTGAAATTAAGAGTCAAAACGGAAACAATTGAATGTAAATCAGTTCATATACAATCAGATAACATTATTATATGCGTTGCGACCCATTTGGGTCAATTCCTAGGTCCCAAATATTAGCGATTTAGCTCCATTAACAATGCCAGCGATGAAGGTGTCAAACAAAAAGAGAGAGAGAAATGGGGTTTAACGTCCACTCGACACAAATTAGATAATTTCGGGACTAACATATGGTTTAATTTATTTCAATAATTCGCTTGCGCGCAGGGGTCTTTTAACAGTGGGAGGAAACTGGAGGACCCGGAGAAAACCCACGAGGTTGGACTGGCGACCCTACTCCTTGTCACGTACAACCGGGGATTCAAAACCACGCCAGTTGACTCAATGACAGGCCGTATGATACAGCGCACATGTGTAAATCAATCGGCCACCCAACTAACTATGAATTTTGCCAGGACAGTGGTGTAACAGCATACTCTTATATTAAATTCCAACTGTCAAGGTATTTTTTATGTGCACGCCAATGTATACCTGGGATCTCCAAATGACAAGACACTGTCCTTGCCAGGCCCTCCGTCCTACACAACTGACCAGGGGTAACCAAGGCAGATAAAACTGAGGAACGTCTCAGAGTGGATCCGGTACCTCCAGGCTAGCGAGATAGTGTCTTACTCACTGAGCCACATTGATTTCTGGTACATATACACGGTTGAATATTGAAGATAAATCCAAGAAAGCAACATTGTAATACAATAAAATAAGTAGCTAGTTCTCTGGCCAGGACATTCACTGGTTTATGTTCCGACATGGGAAACCCTGTGTGGATGCCTGCTAAGTTTCAGGAACTCGAGAATTAATTGGTTAAAAATCTTTCTAATGACATTAAATCGCAACCAATGAATAATTAAACTAGTCCATCAGAAGATGATGTCAGGTCATGGTGAACTGAACTCTTGGGGGTCTCAACGCAACGTAAAAATACATCATGTAATTATCTCTAATGATTCACAAAAGTAAAAAAAACAAGTCAACAGCGAGGCTGATGTCCCCCGCCGAAATCCCAAAATAAATAGATGACACATTTTAATTAAACGCACATTTATTTTTTTTCAAAAGTATCAAGCAATCAAACTGATTATCAACTATACACTAAGTTTCATCAGTCTCTATCAGATAGAATCAAAGTTACCTTGTTCCAAAGCATCGACCAATGAAATTGCTTACCTCTATTTACCTTTAGCCACGAAATGCTGATCATTGAACTCAGTCAAGACATTCTCCTAATAAACATCTTCATCAAGTTTAAACATTCTACCTCAATTAAAAGCAGTGTTGTTCTGTTCCAAAGTCTCAACCAATCAAATTGCTTATAGATCCTTAGCCTAAGCAGAACAGACTCATCATCAAACTTAGTCAAGGTAATGATATAATGAATCTATACTCGGAGCTTCATCACTGTCGCTTAATTAAAACCAAAGTTATTGTCCCCAAAGCATCAACCAATCAAATTGCTTATCTCTGCTTACCCTAATAAACACCTACACCAAGTTTGAACATTCTAGCTCAATTAGAAATAGAGTTATTATGTCCCAAAAAGTGTGACGGATGGACGGACGGACGGATTGACAGACATGCGAACTCATTTTAATAGTCCCCTGCTTTCTTCGAAAGGCGGGGGACAAAAAATATATACTATGCTAAAGATACATTAAGCAAGAGCTAAATCTGCCTATTGTAGGTTTTTATTTCAGCTACAAATGTTATATGAATTATTATTTAGACATTTATTCACATCAGATGGTGGAGATTTAAATGGATTGAAAAGAGATTGCCATTTAATGATTTTTATTAAAAAAAGGGGGAAGCAAGGCAGAGTCTCGATTAACAAGTAACGTTGCTACAATAATAAACAATCTATGTCACATCTTGTCAAAACCATGATCACATTGTGCAAAATAAAGTAATTTCAATGAAATTTTCAATGCAGTAATTTTGAATTATCTATTTTGGAACTATTATATAGCAGAAGGGCCCGCTCTTTATCTAAATCTTACATAATGCATCTTTAACTATAATAGTTAAACACATTTTACATCCAATAACACATATCGTCGGTGAAGTGTCAAAAGGGTGTATCTAAGAATTTCTAAAGATTAAGAAATAGAACCTTTTGCATTTCAAAATTTCCACAAATCAAGATACAAAATTTAGACACATGATACCCAGAACAGTTCTAATTGGTATAGAGATACACAGCTTAGACAGAAATGTGCATATTAATTGGGAGATTTACAAAATGCAAAAAAGTGAATTTGACTAATTTCCCCAAGATACACCCTTTTGACACTTCACCGACGATATGAGGAAAAACTTGACATGTTTCCATAAATAAGATTGCTGAACGAGATGGTTTTGGAACCCCAATTGCTGAACACGATGATTCAAGAAATAAGAGAAAAATGGTATTTAACCGCCACTTGACACAAACTATGTCATTTCGAGAGTAACTTATGATTCAATTTAATTTCAATAATTCATTTGCACGTAAGAGTCTTTAGATATGGGAGGAGATTGGAGGACCCAGAGAAAACCCATGAACTTGGACAGACGACCCGGTCTACTCCTTGTCATGTTCCTAGAAATAGAACCCCCCTGTCTGGTCCTCTCATCAAGATTTTCAATCAACAATGAAGCTGGGAAAAAGAAACAACACAAGAGAGGGAAAGAGAAATCGGATTTACGTCCACTCTACACAAACTTGGTAATATGGTTCAATTTTATTTCAATAATTTGCTTGCACGTAGCAGTGGAAGGAAACTGGAGAACCTAAAGAAAACCCACGAGGTTGGACAGGCAACCCTATTCCTGGTCACGTACAACCGGGGAATCGGAAAAAGAAACAATCTTTTCCCCTTGTATCTGGATGTTGTAGATAGCAACCATTTTCCATGTTATTATTCGAAATAAACCCGGCAGGCTTCATGGAAATAGGTTGCTATTTGACTACACATCGACACAAACTAGATTATTGTCACATCGACACAAACTAGATTATTGTCACTTCGACACAAACTAGATTATTGTCACTTCGACACAAACTAGAATATCGCCACTTGTGAGTGATAGTTATCCAATATCAACCACTGCTCATTTTGTGTACATGAAATTCAAATTATTAAATCAATATCAACCAATAATGACTTTACAGATGGTTGATACGGGGAATAAACATCATAACACATTAATAGTTGCTATGGGAGATATAGTCTGGAGGTGTGTAAATATATTAATAGAGCAGAAACCTGATGAACTTACAATTTTTATCCTCCATTTCAGCAATAACACTATTTAATTCATTTTCTCGTTGTTTAGCTTGTTTAGATACAGCCTTCATATCTTCACTTCTACCTTGTTCTACACTGTGGCGTGATAGTTTGGCTAAATGTAACTAGAAAAAAAAAAAAATACATGATAGAAATATTTTCATAATACACACTTGTATGTATCAAGCTTGAAACTGATCTTAATATAATCATTAGTAGTAAACCTTTAAACATACATTATGCAAGAGCTAAATCTGCCCATTGCACGTCTTTCTTTAGGCCTGAAATGTTATATAAACTATTAATTAGATATTTATTAACAAAACAAGAGCATAATCGACTCTCGATGGCATCGGATACTCGAGATTTTAACTAGATCAGAACGGTTCACCATTCAAAAATTTAATTTAAAAATGGGAAAGCGAGGCTAAGTCTTGAATATACCAGTCCCAAACAGTGATAATTTGGCTGAGAATAAAGTGATTTGAATGAAATTTTCAATATTTTCATTTTAAATTATCTATTTGTTAAGTATAAAAGCAAGAATGGTCAGCTCTTTGTCTAAATCTTACATAATGTATCTTTAACTATACTGAACTGGTATTTGGTAAGGTTTGAACAGATTGAATCATTTCTATAATAGACCAAATCCGGATGTAACAGCATACAGTATTAATGAGATTTTAATGCAACTTGTATAGCTACTTCATACCCTCAGTCAGACTTAAAAACTAAACAGATAACACTCATAAAAAACTGTACATGACCGGAGCAGGAAATGCTCATTATCGAACTTGGCCACGGTGGTGATGTAACAATACAATACACCAAATTTCATCACTATCACTCAATTAAAATCAAAATTATCATATTCCAGGCATTAACAAATCAAATTGCTTATCTCTGTACAGCCTTAGCAGGAATTTCTTATCATCGTACTCAGTCAAGACATTCACCACGTTTAAGTATTATACCTCTATTAGAAGCAAACTTACTGTGACAAGACAGAAGGCAGCACACAAATAAAATAATTGAATCCCAAAACTGCTTTATATGAATGCAATATTTATCTGTGAAATACAACTTACTTCTCGTTCTAAAGCTTGAGTATTAGTTGTTAGATGAATACACTCTTCTTTAGCGTTTACTAATTCTCTTTCAGCGGTATTTAAACGTCTGCGTAATTCATCAATTTCTGTCTTCTTTCTACTCTTTTCCTGCACGTATATCATGATAAAATTGATGATATCATGATAGGTTGGTAGTAATAAATGATATTTGAAGGAAAAACAATAAATCAAATATATTCAACATTTCTAATATTTGAAATATAGTTTTATAATTTCTTTGAAAATTGAGTTAGTAGATTTTTTATGATTTATTCATCAATACATCTGGGTTGCAATAGAAATAAAGGTTATTGTCATAAAGTGTCAAGTATATTTTTGAAATCCATTATCTAGTATTTTGAGATAGACTTCTTATTTCATTAAAATCAAGTAAAATAGTTATTAATTTTTCGGAAGCATATTTTCAGATAACATTAAATTTTAGATTTAGAGATTTAGAGTATATGTCCTAATTAACCATTAATTAGAGATTTTCTAGTGTATAATGAAAGATACTAACCTCATCATTTTGTTTATGTAATTGATCAAGTTGACATCTCATCTTGGCAGCATCTTGTACAGCTGTTGATCTATGTATAGATGTACTAGTTGTTTCCGTTCTATACATCTCAGACATCTACAACACAACAACATTGTTTATTCTCCATCAATAAGTTTACATCAGAAAAATTTACTAAGCAATTTCACTTAGATGTGTATATGATGGAAAATGGTAAACTTAAGGGATGATTTATAGAGAGATAGTGAGAAATGGGGTTTAACGTCCACTAACACAAACTAGGTCATTTCGGGACTAACACATGGTTCAATTTTATTTCAATAATTCGCTTGCTCGTAGGGGTCTTTAGCAGTGGGAGGAAACCGGAGGACCCGGAGTAAACCCACAAGGTTGGAGGGGCGACCCTACTCCTTGTCACATACAACCAGGGAATGGATCATTTATACGCAATTATCAATGATGTATTCTTAATTTCCAGAACATCGATATCTAAGAAAGATATTTGCTACTGATATACTATATTTTCAATCTATGAGGAAGATACTGCCCCAATCTTGTTAGGCACTGACCTAAAATATTAGTCAGGTAGCAATAAGTGAAGTAATTTATCAACTTAACTAATTAAGCAACAGGTGAGGTTACAGTACAATTTAAATTCTATATCAACTAGTGAAGTTATTCATCAACGTAAATTTCAAAAATATCTTTTGGGATGCTTTTTGGGTCATGAGTTTAAGAAATTTTATGACTTGTGTAGCTTCAATGATCTTGTGTTCCTGACTAAGCAATAGTTTTTAGAATCAATAAATTCTGGTAGTAGGAGACTAAACTACAAATATTATTTAATTGAACTAGTGTATTACCATTGTAACTTCTCTATCACATTTTCTAAGTTCTGCCTTGATTTCATCAAGTTCATTAGATAAAGATGTTTTCTGTCTCTCGGTTCTCTCCATTTCATGTTGTAATACAGTATAATGTTCTGTTACTTCTTTTAACTACAGTAATTAAAATTATGTGTTGACTAGTATTTACATAAGAAATACACAAGGTGTAGTAACCTGACCCATAGAAAATGTAATATCTTAAAGTGGTCAGTTAGTTATGTAATAAATTGAGCAAACACTTCCCCAACCCCCAACCATGAATATGGAAAGTTGAAGAGCAACGATCCAGTCATGCTGTAATAGTCTTAAAGTTTGCCTCTGATTTTCCAACTTAAAGAGACTTTATCACTCTCACCAAGAAAATAAATGTATTTATTTGTTTAATAAGATATAAACCATAATCTTTGGCTGAACTAGTTATCAAAAATTCAAGCATTGGCCTACTTAGATTAAGGTATTTTAAACAAGCATCGATTAAAATTTGTCACCACCAAAAAAAAAATGTGTACACTATGTAAATTGCAACTTTAAACATCTCCATATTTACAGTGACTCACAGATTTATCTTGGATGTTACCATACAGTCAACTCAAGTGAAGACCTCAGCAGAAGTGATAATGCATCATTAAAACAAATCACTTCTTTGCATCCAAAACATATTTTACAGAGGGAGCCATGGTGGCTCAGTGAGTATAGAACTAACTCACTGACCCGGAGGTCTAGAGTTCAAGTTTTTTATGATTATCCAGCATGGCTGCCCTTCTGTCAGAGCTGGATTTTTAAAACCAGGCCCAGAGTTCACAAAGCATCATCAGACTTAAGTTAAGAATTTTTCTCAAAATTGTTTGCCTTAATTTGACTAAAAATATAGCCCTTTATAAAACTTCTGTTGTTTTAATGTATCGAATACATCAATAAGTTTTGTGTTTCTGGAACAAAGGTATTTCTCATAAACAGTGATTGAAAGTTGAGTAAATTCTTAAATTAAAGATACATTATGGGAGATTTTTACAGAGAATTGGCCATTCTTGCTATAACAGTTCAAAAGTAGATGATGAAAGATGAATATTTTGAAAATTTCAGTCAAATTACTTTATTCTGAACATAGTTATCATCGTTGTAATATTTGACTAGAAATGGTAGTGAAATGTGCCTTCACCGTGGCTGATCGTGATTATCAAGTAAAGTTTTCAATGGCACGCGGAAACGCTCTACAGCGGCCTCGCTTAGTACACTCTATCATTTAGCCTCGATCTAACTGACGTATTCTCATCAGGATGCGCCATATTTGAATTAATTGATAAGTGAAATCCTATTTAAATCCGAGCTGTAGCCGAGCCATCCGTGGGTATACAGAGTTGATTTTGTGCTTGTTGTTTAAATAAAGATCTAATTTATAATTTCTATAACATCTGAAGCCTAAATTAAGACTTGCAATAATCAGATTTTGCTCTTGCATAATGTATGTTTAAGTCTAAGAAAGCTTTGTGAACTCGGGTCTGGTCAAAAATTCCTCCTCATAGCAAACTATATGGCATGCGCCCATCTTCAAGAGCAAGACATTAAACCTATTTCATTTTATTCCTAACATACATTATATTTTATAGAATTTGTACCTTTTTATTTAAATCATCTATGATAGCTTTATTTTCATTTCTAGCAGATTGTCTCTCCATTTCCATCTTACGATGTGTATCTGTTACATGAGCTTCAAATCTATCTCTCATATTACTTAACTCATCAGCAAACTGTTCTTTCTGTACTAAAGCCTGAAATTCAAATCAAATAAAATATCAATATGGGCTTATACATTAATATTTCAACAAAATATTACTAAATCAGCATGGTTAACAGCAAAGCCTTATATTTGAGAGAGAGCATCTGGCCAACTGTTACCATTTGTTACACTATCTGTAAGTTTAATACATCAACATAAGAACAACACATGTATAAAATAACAAGTGTCAGTGATAACAAATACAATGATAGTTCTCTATAAGATATAATAGGTGAAAGACGGGAAATGTGTAAGAATCTGTAATTGTGTAGCACAAAAGCCATTTTGTCACCCAATCACAATTAATTTAATACAATACAGTATGGCCATTGCTAATAAGAAAAGACCTTAGAAACTGGTGGAATTTTTTTTTAAACTGTAAAATATCAAAGAGTGATTTTGGCCATCCCTATGAATCATGACTGACCAGTTGCATTCCCTTTGATGTTATGTTACTGTATTAGATATGTCATTTGTCAAAAATCTTAAAAACTGTACACATTACTTAATATTAATAAAGTTTAATATATTATGATAATTTACCTCTGTTTGTTCTAATTGAGCTTGTTCTACTAATTCTATTCCTTTCTTCATCTGTTGATAAGCTTCTTCTTCTCTTCTCGTCATATCTGTTAATCTAGTTTTTAAACTCATACAATGTTCCATTAATTCATCTCTCTCTCTAAAAAACATTTATATACATCATATACTTAAAAAAGTAATAGATGTTAATCTTAATAATTTAAAAAATGAGGACACATGGTGATTCATTCAATATGGTCCTGGCTGCCTAACCATGAGCTCCTGACATAACTTTCCATCTGTTTTCCTCTTGTCAGTAGTGTCTAGTGATTTGGATGAGATAAAAAAAAAACATCCTGCGAATACCATTGGCAGCATGTTAAACTTGGAAATCCCAAAAAAGAGTAGGTCATTGAGCTGCTGTCCAGGCAAAATCTTCCACAAAGCGTTAAACCCCATTTCATTTCTTAACAATGCAGTTACTACTATCCAATTAAAGGTGCAAAGCCTCTTCGATTAATGTAAAATCAAATTGTAGACAAAATTTAGTGCAAATTTAACCTAAGTATCTTACATTTGAAATAACAATTTGATCACCATACATGTCCATTTAATCCCGAAAATCACTAGAAGCTTGATTGGGTGGAAAAATTCCAATTAATTCAAATTGGTAACCAATCTTGTAGGGCCAATAGTAGGTTAGTTTAACCAAAGCTGGTTATTTGAATATTCGTATGGTGAAATACCGTTCAGTGACATGATGTCAGGCCTGTGTCGAGACAACTGAGCACATTTCAATCTTTCAGGCGAACTAAGTTATCTATATTTTGGAACTAATGACCTATTACTACTTGATCTACCAGTCATAAAGTGGCAACTTACTTTGTAATTCTATCAATAGCTTGTTGATGAAAATTTCTCTGTGTGTCTGAGAGAAAAGTATTAGCTATCAAAATGGCAACTTACTTTGTAATTCTATCAATAGCTTGTTGATGAAAATTTCTCTGTGTATCAGAGAGAAAAGTATTAACTATCAAACCATTTTCATGTGTTGGTATTGTATCATGCATTCTAATCTGAGATTTCAAATCTTCAACAGTCTGTTCATATTTATGGACTTCATTTCTAAAACAAAATGACAGAACAAAAACAAATTAAATTGAATTTCTAATACAAGCAAAAATAACAAAGAAATCAACAAATATCTGACTAAGGTCATATGGAGAAAGATCCTTCTCGTAACAAACTTTATTGCTGTCGTTCGAACTTACGATTTATATTCGCAGATGTCATATCTTATTAACTTTGAAATCACTTATTTTTACAAGCTTTAGTGTAATTTATCTGTTTTATTATTTTATAGAGATGCCATATTTTTGTAAACCATTTGTTTTATATGATTTTATACTGTTATTGTTAAGAGCATTCCAACACTTTGTCATGAAACCTGTGGTATATAAAACATTCCATAATAAAAAACATGATAATATAAAGAAATATCTTTGAATATAAGAAAAGCTGTCTCGTGAGTCAGGTTGATTTGATATGATATTGGGTTACCTATGCTGTATTATGTACTCTTTAATTTGTTGAGTAGTTTTATTTCATCATCTATAAGTTTTAAGAAATCTACCATGTTTAATGTTAACAGCATGAGAGGACCCGGAAAAAACCCATGAGGTTGGACAGGCGATCCCACTCCTTGTCATGTACAACCGGGGAATCAAAACCATGGAAGTTGACTCAATCACAGACCTTATGATACAACGCGCACGTACTAACCAATCGGCATGAGCACTTATCCTTTTACTAAATCAAGGGGCACTTATTACGGATGAAAAATTGAAGATTATATAAGTATGAAAAAAAAAAAGTAACTAACAATTACCATTTTGGTGTCAACCTACCTTGCATGTAGTAACTGTGTTTCTAACCGTTCTGTTTTTGCAGCATGCAAGGAACTCAATCTTTCCTGAAAAAAAAAGTTAATAAAACTTCAGAGTTTGATACTGTTATATAAATAAAGTTTCAATTATTAATAGCTTTTCTCTCCATATTACCATTATAATACATTTTTAAAAATTTACACACAAAATTACAACTTACCAGTTCAATTTGCCATCTTTTATAGTCGGTACGAGACATTCCTGTATTAATAACATCTTTAACAACGTCATCTAAAGCTCCAGTTAACTTGAAAAACACAATAACTAATCTTTACAATCAAATAATCAGTTAGAATGAAATGAAATGAAGTTTAAAGCATCAAAATATTAATTTCATCCGTTTGAGACTGATTTATCATAAATTTCATGTCAATAGTTATGTGAGAAATGTGAATGGGTAGAATTTCCATGAGTTCTATACAGGCACGCTATTATGTATATAGGTTAAACGTTTCTCTTTTTTATCAAACTACTAGACATTCTATCCTTGTAAGCAATGTAGACACACCCTGAAAAACGAGAACTGGGAAATTACAAAATGTAATCATCAGAAGTCATACTTTTACATCAAAATGTACAACCGAACATACTAAGGAAAGGAGACTATGACCATAGAACAGTGCAATTTTTTTAAACATCACCTCTCAAACAGAAAACAATCATATTTGGAATGTGGTATCATGTATTTTCAAAGTGTATGCATACCCTTCTATGTGCATGACCTCAATCACAGCTACTGAGATTCCAATTAAACAGTGAGTTAAATAATAAAATAGAGAAGTTACCTTATTAATATCACCACCTTCCCTGATGATCTCATGTATAACTGTTGTTTTTAATTCTTGATGAAGATTCTTATTTTCTTCTAGTATTTCTGATAATTTTAGTTGTAAAACCGCCAACTCTTCCTGAATTAATGAAAATAATTACCAGTATATGCTTTGCTAGTTTCGTCAGCAAAATAACTTGGTTCTCATATTTTATTAAGTTGAAAATTGCTTCTTTATATGTTATTATTCTATCCAGAAATTAAAATACATTCTATAAAACCTAAATACATGTATGGGAAATGCTTGATTCTATCAGGTGGTAATCATGTGGGAGTGTGTGAATTAAAGGGAAGTAATTCAAACTTAAGCACCCTAAAGTCATATTATCTCCCCTTAGACCACCACAGTTCATTCCTGTTGCCATTTCATTAAGGACATTTGCAGAAGAGTCTTTCTTAACAAATATTAATTATATTCAGGGCTATTATTAAAGAATATTACACTGTACATCCAGTGACATGATTTAAAATTCACAAATGCTTCTAATCAAGTAGTATTAACGTGCCAGCGGACAATATACTGATAAAAATTACTTGTCTGGGTCTTATTGTTTTTTCACTAGTCATCAAGGTGGGACTGCTATTTCAACAGCCCCGCTGAATTCATTTTAAATCGTTATTATATGTATTTGTGAATTTTTTGTCTGTATAAGTTTACCTTAATATATCTGTTTTCCGCTTCAAGTTGATTGGTATAGCCAACTTGATTCTGTAATATCTGTGCTGCTTCTTCTGCAGTTGGAAGAGGTCCACGTGGTATGGAGTTCTCTTTTTCTGGGACCTAAGAAGTAGAGATGAATTAGAGATCATTTTTAAATAAATAAATGTAATAATAATAAATAATGTATAGTTAGTTCTAAAAGATGAAGATTAACAAGGTTTGTGCACAAGCCAATTCATGAAATAAAGATGTACCATATGTTTTTAGTCACAAATGACCTAGAGTCTGTTAAGTAGATCATGTTAAACAATATTTTTCTCCCTATTAAGACACACCTGAGCCAAAGAGAAATGACAAAGTTACCTCCTTATCTTGTAACATTTGACGAAGTTGTTGAGCAGCATCTCGATATTTTGGTGGACGATTTTCCAGGTCATGCCATGTCAATGTTCTAGGATGAACAGCTTTTATCAAATCATCTTTAGCTTTAATTGGAGAACCATGTCTTGCTGAGCCATGGGTAGGAGACTTTGCACTTCTAGGAGGAGAAAGGTTTCTTCTTGGTGTTGCATGTAGTGATTCTTTCAACTCATTTATGCTGTCATTGGCTCTATCTGGAATATATCAAAGTATAAATATCAATAATTTCTATGACTCTTTGTAGGCTAGAAAAATGTACACATATTTCTTTTATATTATATTTCTACAAAGACAGCAAACAACCTAATACATTTCTCTTCCACAATCACTAAAACATACAAATACAGTGTACACTGTATGTACACTGTACATTGTACAGAGTTGCTGCAATACCTGGGCATTAGAATGACAATTAAACACTATTTCAAGTTACACCAGACGGTATCAGTGGTTTAATACTGGCAATATATATTTCCCTGGTTCATCACATTATTTTGTCAAATAAAAATAACAGGGTGTCATTTTGAGTTAAAAAAAAAAACAGATCTAAATCCCTTATCATTACTGATCAGTCTCTTGTATTATAATAATAATGGCATATAAGCCATACATGGTTTACTGTGCATGAGATCTGAACAAATCCTCATCGGTAATAATATTCATTTTTGTTATCGAAATGAAATGAAAAAATGAAATGAGGTTGAACTTCCATCAGTTCTTCACTGACTTGGCCCAGGAATCTTAGTCTTATTTCAAATTTTAACTGCCTAAACAGGATCACAGTTTTATGTCCCATCCAAATGACTATTATTAAAGTAGCTAAGTCTCTAACTCAATATCATCCAAAATCTTCAACATTGAAAACACGATTTATTTGTCAAATTAAATCAACATTCATGTTGTGATCTTACCGGAAAAAGATTGGCTTTTGATATCCAATATTTAAGACAAAATAAACATTTTACCATTGGTACACGAATCGTGTACCATAATGCGCTTCAGCGCCAGTTCTATCAAGAGACTCGAGGGACAAGGCTAGACACACTGCACCAAATCAAACGGCGTATGTAGACTGGAATAACCAGACGCTAGAAATTTGCACTCGCTCGAGACTGCTGGCTTATTTTGCCGAACATAACTGATTTGAAATTGGAGTAAAAACGGAAGCCATTGAATGTAAATCAGTTTATATACATTCATAGTACAGTATTATATGCGTTGCGACCCACTTTTGTCAATTTCTAGGTCCCAAATGTTAGCGATTTAGCTTCTTTAAGTATTATATTATGTACATTGTCTCTGACAGTGACATGGGTCTGATCATGGGTGGAACCAGACCTCAGTCTCAGATGCCAGGTGAGATACTCAGATAGTTGTTTGAGAGAAAAATATGGTAGTTTTTGTTCAGTTTAAGTTATCGAGATTCACGAAGATTACGCCAGATAGCACCAACATGCCATTGTATTCCTTAATTCGAAACACGACAGGTCCAGGGATGCGTTACCTTATCTTTTGGTCGATTGATGATTTCAGTTTGAATTTGTCATGTTTTGACATGTTTACATTTACTCAACTTTTTTACGTGAACAAATCTGAAGTAAAACTAATTAGGCCTATTATACTCAACCTCTTATCGAGCGCTGATATTTATGAACTTCATCATCTGCATCGTATTCTTCAAAACTGTACATATTTTTAAAATCCACTCATTAGAAGTAAATGTGAATTTTTGTGATCACAGACGTTTTTTTTTCCATCCGGCAAATTCGATACCGGAAGTTTACATCCGTCAACAGACATGCGTAAAGGATTAAATGTGGCACGAGCAGACAGACTGAAAGAAAGAAGGCGGGGCATCAAAGTCGATACCGTACTGGATACTCCACTGTATTTGGACAGGAAAGAGAATTGGCACGTTTTAGCTGTAAATATAGGTTGCATGAAAGACAATGGATGAGGTTAGTGGGTATTTTAACCTTGTTTTAGTTTGATAACATATTGAGAGACAAATATTTGGGATTGACAAAATATTAGAGTGAAAAAATAAACCAAATCCAGTCGAGTAGAAGCAGCTTGTATCAGACTCAGAGACAATGATGATATCATTCAATGACTGTCTCTTGTCTTGTGCAACTTGTGGATTGAAAAATGAATATCGAGTGTGGTGTATTGTGTCACACACGAATCTCAGTATGGGGAACCACTTGTTGAAGAAGCCAATGTATATACTTAGGATTTGGCAAATTGTCAATGAATTGATTCATTTGTTGAGACAACAAAATCATGTCTTGCTTTATTTAAAATTAAAAAAAAGCCAAAAAAAAAAAAAGCCAGAGAATCGAGAGAAACAAAACAAAACATACATTGCTTAATATATTTGTATTAGAGTCTAATTTGAATTAGTAATTGTACAAGCATGGACCCTATTTATAATATATAGAATGCATAATTTAGTGCATTCATATCAATTAAGAGCAATACATGTGCCCTAGGCCCCATACCCATTCCCGTAAGTGTACTGCCTATTTGAAGAGATAGTCAGCTATATCATTCACTCATTATTGACTCAATCCTAGTAGATTGCATGACTGACTAACCTAAAAACAGAGAAATCAATATTCTATAGTAGTAGAAAGAACTGCATACAAAATAACTAAGAGATTATTATTGTACAATGGTCAACCCAAGCAAATTTAAACCTTATGTTTCAGTAAGAAAGTAAATAAAAAGAACAGCCACAATTATATAGGCTAATCTGTTTAGATTTGATTTATACATGTATTGCTTCTTTGTCTACCTCTAAGCTGTTAATCAACTCAGATAATCCTCTTTAAGATTAAAATAATACTCCCACATCAAGGGAAGGGTCATAAATTGAACTTGGCAAAACTTATGTCTCCATTTCATAGTACAGTACGGGTATCCTTAATTGCAGATAATTATAATGGTAAGTAGTTCTGAGTGCTTCCAGTCTTCTCCGGGTGACTTACATGTAATTTAAAAAGGTTATGCAAATTAAAATTGATTCATAACCCAATTTTATTTTTTGTTAGTCAATTTTTAATTTGAATTTTTATAATTGATAAATGAGCTATACATTTTAAATTTGAGCTATACATGTATAATGTAATAAGCTATTGAGCATAAGGTACATGAACATATATTTATGTACCAAAGAACGTGTTTTATTTTGCAGTAAATGTCAAATATTGCACAGAATGGGCAATTCCTGACATAAGAAGATTTTTGGTGAAAAATTCTCCAGAAGAAATCTTGATGGTTGATTTAGTTAGATAATAATTTTTACTGGGTAACTTGAAAACAAATTCCCCCAAATTAAAAAAAAATAAGTCATCTAATAGTAACACTATTGTTATATAAAGTAAGGTCTGCTTGTAGATGTGTGGATTAAAATGGAATGGTTGTAAATTTTATCAATTTATCAACATAAATTGAATATTACAAATTGCGATTTTAGTGAAAAAGTCTCTGATCACTCTTTTAAAAATCAACTTGGCCTATGCTTTTTAAATTAATTCATTTCATTCAAATGGATCATACATTTACTTCATGTGTCTAAAGCAAGAAAACAATTTTTTATGAGATGAAATGGAAAATGATAGTTTATATTTATTGTAAAGATTGACTTTCAAACATATGGAAATGGATTGATAAGAGTTAGAGAAGATTAAGATATATTTTTATCCCCAGTTGGCTGCTCCAGTCAGATTTAATTCAGTGTAAAGTTAGCTTCTAGAGTATGGCCTGTGTCTTATCAAACTTACTATCATGTCAAGTGAGAGTTTATCTAATGATAGTATTATATAAAATATGAGCGTTAAATTTCTGGCAAACAGTGAGAATCAGACAGAAATAAAGAGATAGGTTTTATAGTTTATATTAGAGCACTGGGGCATATAAGTGGTTGTCTTTCTTATACCTTCCTTATATCTTTATTGAGTGGAGTGGTTTCTCGCTGATTTTACCACATACAAATACCATACTGTACATTAAAAAAATTACTTAGTCTTCACTTGAAATTTAGTTTCAAAACTAAAATCTTAAACAATGTACAATGTATCTTTGATTTCATTGTTTATTTGTTTGATGAAGTTATACTTAATTTTAAATGAATTTTAAAATTTAATCAAGTTAATTCAGTAGTAGACAAGTGAATGCACATGTTTATTTATGTGTAGACTGTACAGACCAACATCCATTATTTTCCTTTTTCATAAGAAAGTTTGGACTTTGTAATTATAATACCAACTATTGATATCATATACATGTTATTAAATTACATAACAGTACATGTATGTGCTTACTGTTATATGCTCTTCTGAAACAGAAATTAATTGGCATTAGTCTGTGAGAAAGCTATAACTCTTAACAAAAGGTGGGATACAATTTAAAATGTATTTGTTTTTAGAAGCTTTTGTCAGCTTTTGATCAACCAAGTACATCAAAGTAAATCTTAAAAAAAAGTTACATTCAAAGCCATTATAAATGTCTGGACTTTAGTACGATATTACTATTAAAGCTACTTTCCCAGAAAAGTATTTATCGGGTGGTTATTTCCAATAAAAGTATGGCAATTTTGGTATATATGGAAAGTAGAAATATCCAATCTTACTTGAAAAATACTGAATTCCCTGAAAAACACTCATGGAGCGCATACAGGACAAAAATGTATGTGTTCCCTAACCGAAAGACCGAAGATTAGGAGTGTCTGCACGCAGAGATTGAGCGCTTGATGTACATGTTGATAAACTTTATGAAGAGTTAAACGTACAACACTTTCTGAGGTAAAAATCATGGAAAAAGACGCGGCAGTGGATAATCCGACAATTTAATTAGGCTTCGATATTTGTAATAAATAGTCAGCGATAAAGGCAACATCGTCTTGTGTATGCAACAAATTTTTCTCTGACTTCGCACCCGTTGTGTCACGTGACACAAACATGACCCCTTTTGATTGATTTTTTATAGCCGGGTATTCCCTGACAATTGCAATGTTTTGAGAAGGATTTGAAGCAAAATTATGATAAATTAATTAGTTTGAATATGTTTTTAATCCAAATATATCATCAAATCAGCCAGTTTGTACCCGGGAATGTATCTTTAAAAGTACTGCATTAAAAAAAATATTGTCATAATTCATTGGCAGATGAAAACAGGATTGTATAAAATGAAAAATTAAAGCATTATTATTTTGATGATGTTTTTACAGACATTATGGTATACATATAGGTGACCATTTGTAAGGAGTGGGATAAGTTCACTCATACGGTTTATACAGGTGTCTAACCCATTCAACCATATACAACAATATCTTATATTCAAGCATGATTGATTGTACATAACAAGATGCTAATCCTAACAAGTTAGGGTATTGTTGTCACCATTTAACCTAATAATAATATTTTCCCTCTTAATGGATGTTCTTACCCCCATGTATATTATAATGCCTACTTGAAAAGTTTTTGTTAACGATGTGTATGTCGGTAAAATTACATTGATTAAATGATAATTGTATGTAAGAATAAAAAGAAATGTATATCAATATTATTTATTATAGATAATTGGAGACAATAAGTACTATAAAATTTGATTTATTTGTGTCATTCAGTTTTATGCTTGTGAGGACAAGTCAGTCATTAGTTACAGAACATTTATTTTCAGTGTAAACTGTATGTAAAAAGGATGAATTGCTTGTTATTTGGTTGGTTTCGAAAGTTGAAACAAACTATAGTATTTTGCAGAAATATTCAAATTAATGCTGGCTCAAATATAATTTTACTGTAGACATGTAGTCAGGGCCGGTACCAACTACATGTATTCTCCAGCCGTTACACACCTCCACTCCCATCTTTTGATTTTCAAAAACAGATGTTTTGTAGAAGTTGATGACGTTGATGTACATGAAGGCCTGGATAAAATCAGAATAACTTGCAGTTACACTTCTGGATCAATTATATAACTGTGACCTTATAATTAGTAGTAATTCTTTCCTTATTGCAATAGTCGTTGTTTGTATTTTAGAGGAGAGTCGAAAAACAGCTCCTCTCAGTCAACAATTGAAAAAATCGCTCCCCTAAAAAAGCTCTTCCAGTATCGATAAGAGTGATTTAAAAATTAAGGAGAGTGATCTGATATTACATGTAGTTGTGTGTGTGGGGAAATGGTTCTGAAGATCAATAACTGCGTGTAATGCCATGGGGTCATTCCTGGTTTCATAAATGATAATAAACCCCCGATGACTTTCTTTGTAAAGGAGGGCGATTTTCAATTTTAGGGGGAGGGAGAAAAACCTCACCTCGGTCAACATTCAGGTGAGCAGCGACAGGCACTCGAGAGCAATCGCTTGCCTTAAAATACAATAACTGATTGCAAACAGACATAAAGTACAAAGTACATGTAATGTGTAAATTGTTACTTTTGTTGACATGTATATTTCAAACATTCTTCATGTCTCAAATAAAACTGAATACATATTCCAACTTTATTTCTCTTAAATTTTTAATAAGAGGGGAAACCAATGTGTGACAAATTTCATGGTCAGTGTGACTAATTATGATAGGAACTAGCAATTAGTGGTCATGGTTGTTTGATTTTACCTGATAAAGTCTAGACCAGTGACCTCTCAGATATGTCATGTTTAGTGTATAATGTAGTACCTGAACTTGTTACTAGAATGATTAAATGTTTCTACCAGCTTTAACACAACATGTATGTGATTTATATTAAATCTAATGGCTAGTCTCACAAATATATATTTTTATGGAAACATTAGAATGAGAATGGTAG